AAGCAACTGCGAGTGATAGTGATGACATGACGTGGATAGGTTGAGATTCTTTAACATGCTATGTCAAACCCTAGAAAAAGGAAAACCCCATAACAATCTTCAAATGTCATTGAAGCACAAGAGTTAGAGAAGACCAAAATGAATTCAAAGACATCAAAAGCAGTTGGTCCTCAAATCAATTTGGAGAAGAGTACTGCCAGTAAGGACTAATGGAGAAATGAAATATTAAACAAAATAGAATCATTGGAGAAGATGGCGAAAAATATTACGCCAAACATGGTTGAAAAGGCAAAGAACAATAAAAAGATATTCACTAATATAGACGATTTAAGAAATAAAAACAAGAAACACAGGGAATTGGTTGAGGAAAGCTTGAAGAATGCTAGCATTTTGGCGAAAAGAGAAAATAGAGAATCCAACAAGAAGGATCTAGAATTTTCAAGCTTCTTTTTAGGAAATGATCTACATTGTACAACACAAACTCTTGAGAGAACAAAAGACCAAAAGTCAGAATAGGGACACAGAGGAGAATGCGTAAAGAAGTGTTGGGAAATTGATAAATAATCAAAAGAAATAAAAAAGGAATAAAGAAAAAAATGGCAATCAACATACATGGGCGCCACTTGAAAAGGGAAAAGAAACACATTTATAGTGGACAAAATTTGCTGAGCCAACCTTGGCTCTTCATCACATGGTGGGGACAGCTAGTTCTTGTGGAATGGATGGATACATGCATTTGGTTATTCTAAATATGAAGAGAATCAGGGGTGAGTAGTGTGTGTGGGTTTTACACACCACCAAGGTAGAGAGAGAAAATGGGAGGAATTTTACACAAGAATACCACCGGGAAAATCCAAGGTGTAATACCCCGTATCAAGATGGGAATGGGAAGAGTTCAAAAGGATTGATAGTACTACTCATACCAACAAGGTGTATCTTCTTTTCGAGAGCCCATCACCTAGAAATTCCAAAGTTAAGTGTGCTTGACCTGGAACAATTTTAGGATGGGTGACCCCTGGGAAGTTTTCCTTGGGCGCGCACGAGTGAGGACAAAGTTTGCGGGAAAGACTTGTGTTGGTTTGTGGGGCCAGTCTACAATCCTATGAGCGGACACTTACGGCTAGGGTGGGGGCTGGGGTGTTACAAATGGTATCAGAGCAACCCTGCGACCGTGACGGGCCAAAAGAGCTTAGTTCACCTAGCGGGGAAGATCAAAGGGTTCAAAAAAAAGGATGCAACGAGGACGTTGCATTCCTAAGTGGGGGTGAATGTAATACCCTGTATCAAGATGGGAATGGGAAGAGTTCAAAAGGATTGATAGTACTACTCATACCAACAAGGTGCATCTTCTTTTCGAGAGCTCATCACATAGAAACTCCAAAGTTAAGTGTGCTTGACCTGGAACAATTTTAGGATGGGTGACCCCTTGGGAAGTTTTCCTTGGGCGCGCACGAGTGAGGACAAAGTGTGCGGGAAAGACTTGTGTTGGTTTGTGGGGCCAGTCTACAATCCTATGAGCGGACACTTACGGCTAGGGTGGGGGCCGGGGTGTTACAAAAGGGGTCTTGGTGAGTGTGGGTGAGTGTAGGGAGTAATTGGTTTTAGTTACTCGGAAAAATACATACGGACATAGAATGTGGAAAGATCTGTTTATAAGTGTCTGGAATTTAGCCTTGTAAACAGGGGAGAGTTTTTTGTATATTGTCCTGAAATAGTGGAAATATAATTTTTTTTCTCTCATATATATTCTTCTTGTGTTTCTTCTCTTTTTTCTGGTGTTCTCAATATTTTTTCGGTATATTACGCACTTAAAATCCCAACAATTGGTATCAGAGCTTGGTTGCGCTGGGCAGGAGGGATTTGTAAGCGGTAAAAGGAGAAATTTTTAGAACCCAGGGACTGGTCGGTTTTGGTCAGAAGGCGACCATGAGACATCAGGAACAAAGTGGATGGCATGGGGACCGGGTACGAAGTGGCATGTTGGCTTTGTAAAGTATGGTGCATGAATAGGATTGAGGAGACCGATGGTCTAGCTGAGTGGAAACTGCGGTTTATGTCTTGTGTCGAAAGTCTTCCCGGCAAGAAAAGGTCGGGCGGCGTGTCCCGCAGGTGTTGCTGCGGTGGTGCAAGATGGGCGGATCAAAAGAAGCTAATTGCTAGAGGGGTGGTCTCAGAGAGTGTTAAAAAAGGTGAGTTGTCATTTTTTTAGCTCGGGGTGGATGTTAAAACTCTAAGGAGCTAAGGTAGTGGCGGTGATCTTGACGGGTTGGTTGAGATGGAGCCACGGTACAGCGATGACTGGAAATGGTGAGGACCTTGTCGTATTGAGCAAGGTGAGGCCACGACCATGAGTCAACACATGGTGGCGGAGAGCTTGCGGTATGGAGCAAGATAGGGTCATGAAAGTTTTTCAAGGTGGTAGTGATCTTGGTGGTTGGACCAAGGTAGAGCCATGAGATTTTTTTTCTTTAAGGTTGGCAGCGGTGATCTCGGTGGAGCAGACTGAGATGGCGCCAAGGATTTTTTTTTATTTCGGAGTAGCGGTGATCTCACCGAAGAAGTGAGGTGGAGCTACAAAGTTTTTGATTATTTAATCAAGGTGGAGTTTGTTGGGAAATTGATAAATAATCAAAAGAAATAAAAAAAAGGAATAAAGAAAAAAAATGGCAATCAACATACATGGGCGCCACTTGAAAAGGGAAAAGAAACACATTTATAGTGGACAAAATTTGCTGAGTCAACCTTGGCTCTTCATCACATGGTGGGGACAGCTAGTTCTTGTGGAATGGATGGATACATGCATTTGGTTATTATAAATATGAAGAGAATCAGGGGTGAGTAGTGTGTGTGGGTTTTACACACCACCAAGGTAGAGAGAAAATGGGAGGAATTTTACACAAGAATACCACCGGGAAAATCCAAGGGGTCTTGGTGAGTGTGGGTAGTATAGGGAGTAACTGGTTTTAGTTACTCGGAAAAATACATCCGTGCATAGGATGTGGAAAGATCTGTTTATAAGTGTCTGGAATTTAGCCTTGTAAACAGGGGAGAGTTTTTTGTATATTGTCTTGAAATAGTGGAAATATAATTTTTTTTTCTCTCATATATTCTTCTTGTGTTTGTTCTCTCATTTTTCTGGTGTTCTCAATATTTTTTCGGTATATTACGCGCTTAAAATCCCAACAAGAAGAAAGGGTAATTGATGGACATTGATGGGATTAGGGATGGAAACGGGTCAGGTTTTGGTTAGGTGGAGCTTCATCCTCATCCATCCATTGACTCTATATTCATCACTCGATCCATCTATCATTTTTTACATACATTACCCATCATCATATCATTCCATCACTCACAGGTGAAATGGTTTAAGCGGGTGAAAATAGGTGATATAAGTTACGCATCATCATTACCCATCCATCCTCATCCATTCCCCATCATCATATCCATCATTTTTTACATACATTACCAATCATCATATCCATCCATCCTCATCTAGTCCTTTAAAATGAATGTCTTGTGAAGCGTATAACACAGAAAAATCTTTTTTAAAATACTTAGGACATTCAAAATGTTTATGATAAAATCCTGTAAATAAATAATCTTCTAAGTTATAAACTAAGTTTTTACAAAATAGATCATTGGAAATTAAAAGAATTTTATGTACCCAACAAAGGCAATATTTTAAGTTTAAATTTTTCTTAAGTAAATATGAATGTGTTGGGTGATGGATCAGGAGACGGGTGAGAAATAACTCCACACACACGATCCATTAGTAGTCCATCCATCATCCATCACTCTTTTTTCGGGGTCTTATCCATGAGAGCAGGTCGGGTGGATCGATTATCCACCAGGTCAAGTACAAATTTCCATCCTTGGATAGGATGAATGAGCTGTTGGCTAAGACAAACATGAATCAATTGGAGGACAAAGAGAATGTGCACAATGGCAATAGTGAGAATGGTCGCAAATGTCAGATTAAGAGTGACACATAATTGTACACTAACAAATTACTGATATGAGTTGTTATCTGAAAATGTTGTTTGCAATTGGAGTTCAATCTAGTTACTAATTGATGAACAATGTGCGAAACCTACTATTGAAAGTGGTAGATGGTTTTGAGGAAGGCCAACTAAGAAGCAATGTCACAGACAATGTGGAAACAACCTCACAAGTTACCCAAGTATATCTAGCCAAGCATTACTTTATGTTTAATATTTGCACGACTAATTGTTGGATTATGTTTGTTTTCTACATGCACTAGAGAATATCAATCTAGACAATTGGGACATTGTTTCTTCCACACAAATAGTTGTGAGTAACCTAGCTTGTGTTAAACAAAATAGCTTTGATGTTCACCAATATTTATTTATTATTATGTATTTTGTCTGAACAGTTGTACAAGCCTGATGCTATTGCCACTGAACCATCAGAAGTCCCTAAAGATATTATCATTGAACCACCACCAGTCCTTGAGGCTATTGCAATTAAACAACCACCCCTGATGGACAGAAGCGAGTTGTCAAATGCCTATATAAATTTACTCATTCAGACAAGGAAATGAAAACAAAGAAGGCAAAGAGAAGACAAGGGCTACTGACATCTAAACAAAACGCCAATATTGGTGGAGAGGCCATTGTGGAAACAAAAAATGTGAAAGTAACCACTTCCATAGGAGAAACATATCCCAGGGAAAAATAATCAATTTTAACGATTCATAAAGTGAAAACTCTTTTAAAGTATGGTCTCCTAACAAACCACAAAAAAGAAAATAGCATAAAGTACAAAAGCAGCGAGGATTCCATAAAAACAGAAGAGTATAGGCCAATGTGGGGACAAGAAAAACAATCATAAAACATGGTCATGGTACTATAAATTCTTCTACTCGCATGCATGTATGGATAATTTGGTAAGTATGACTAGAGCTCATTTGTCACTAAATGCGTGTGTGTCTATATATATATATATATATAAAATATATATGAAAAATGGTTAGGTCTAGAGAGTGGGGGGAGCTAGGCGATTCTCGCCGCCGTCCCCAAGCCCCTCATTTAGAGATCTGGCAGCCTTATCATCGTTACCCCTACAGATATCGAAGAAGATCAAGCGGATGGAGGGAGCTAGGGGAGCCTCGCAGCTGTCCCCAAGGCAGTTTCATAGAGCTCTGTCAACCATTTCAACACCACTTCTACAGGGATTGAAGAAGGTATAGAGATTGGGGGGAAAGGGACGAATCTCGAAGCCGTCCCCAAGAACGGTTTTCAAAGATCCGACAACCTCAACTTCGCCGATCTTCTAGAGATGAAAGAAGGAATGAAGATGATACTAGACGGACGGAACACACCCAACTCAAGGCAGAGGTTTTTAATCACAGGAATCCTCCTAAGGTTCTCAATCGGAGACCTTTCAATAACTCCCCAAACGGACGGAACTCATCCAACTCAAGCCAGAGGATTTTTGTTGAAGATGATGGACCACTACAACTCTTCCACCCTCCTTGGCAGACAAGAAATTTGAGAGCCTCATTCCAATTGGGTAAAATAGTTTTCAATCTCTTCCACTCATATCTCAACCAAACTTTCTGTTTGGCAGTAGAGGGTAAAAATAATAGTATAATTTGGTTAAACTCTGATCTATTCAATTGGACTTTGGACTGCCTACTGAGAATTAATACTGAGCCAAGTTGGGTGTTTAACAAGTATATAGGTAACAGGGTGATTGTTGTAGCTATGAAGACAATGTGAATCATGTTCTTATTACTGAGAAAAGAGTTGAGGGCAGCAGGAAGGTCTCGATTCCAGTAGGAAATCAATTCCAGTTGCTAACAAACTTTACAAAAAAGCTTCAATTTTTCTTTCGTAGCGCATTGGAGAACTCAGCTTTTGCCTCACTCAGAAAGGATTCTGGCAACACTTCCGAGAGAATACCAGATAGGGTAAGGCTAAGTACTGGAAACTTTGAAAGTAGAGATTGTGGAGAATGGTTTCCAATCCAAGAGACATTTAGGCAAGCAATTTCAGCCTCTAAACCCCTTCTGTGTTGGGAAAATGAATCACCTCAGAACTACAACTGCTTCGCAAGGGACTTGGAATTGTTGGACATAGATCGAGGGGTAGGGCAGATTGAATTCTCTTGCTCCAAACTTTTGTTTGACTGGGACATTTCAGGGTTTGGGTGTCAAGCACTCAGTAACGTAGTTGCTCCCCTCAGTAAGGAAGCTGCTCCAAGCTTGCTGATAGGGAGGGAAGATGCATGGTCAGTGTCAGGCGCGTTTGGTCCTCTTGGTTGTGGTGAACTTACAGTGGTCAGGTCGCTGTCTTCTGAAGCTGCCCCGTTTATCCCCATTTCCTATAACTCATTTGGGGTACTTGATTCCAATGATGACACAACCCTTGAAGAACCGGAGGAGACACGTAAAATCATCAACATTGGGGACATGATTGAGATGTTTAACTGCACATCTTCTGATCGGGTGATGAAACTTAACGCACTTGAGGATGCAGCCCCGGAAAATGATGAACCAGCACTCTACACCCACTCGGAAGGAGAAACCACGGTGTTTATTGACTCCAAAGTTGAACCAATTAGAATAAACACCTCTAGATGCTCTAAGGTGTCGATGCTGCTTCCTAAATTAGCTAAGGGTAAGCCAACCTTTTCACCATCTCATATGGTTACTAGGAGTAGGGCTAAGATAATAGCTGCAGGAAGGAAAGAAAATCCCATTAAGGGAGTTGGCACATCTGAAGATGAGGGAGAGTTTACTGTGAAGGGCATCCACTCCGCATTCAAGAAGACATGCCCGACAATCGGGGGGAGGAAAAACCAGTCTAGTGCACATTCTTTGGAATCTCAACCAAAACATAGCAAGAAACAGAAAAGGAAGGCCAAACAGAAACTCAAACATGCACAAACTTTGGCGATGGCTAACTTAGCACTCAGTGCAAACAATACAATGGATACGGATGATATTGAGGATGACTATGATTTCTCATATTATTTATAACTCTCATATTTGGAACGGGACACCATGGTTCTCCTAGCCTTCTACGCAGTTAGTTTGGAAGCTGTCAAGGTTATGCGGGTCTTTTCCCTCTTTAGTATCTCGTTTAGTATCAAGCAGTTTTGGCTTAGTAAACATTATGGTGGCTGATTTGTAACCATTGGGTGCAATTTTAGGATCCTTTGTTTTGGAATAAGACTTTAGATTACTCTGTTTTGATCGGTTCTGTGGCCTCAGTTTCTGAACGCAGTTTCGTAGGCTTGTTTGAGCTTCATTCTGGCTCCTTAGCTCGACCTTTCGGTATTGGTACTTTGGAAGAGCACTTGACTTGGGATACTCAATCCTCTTCTTGCAAGCTCAAGCATTCAGAGCTTTGAGAGATGAGAACAAGTCGATAACACTGGTTTGGTGCTGCATTTTAAGTTTCTCAGGTCAATAAGAGTGGGTAGGTCATAGGTATTATGATAGGGTTCTTTTACAGCACTGGTTTTTGCATTCAATGGACAGGAGGCATGTTTGTTTGCTGGCAGTTCAGGTGAGGATAATGGCCCCATTCATTAAACTTTTCTTCTATGAAATTTGGCTTTGAATTTTTTCAGCACTTTAGCCACAGGACCACAGATCTCAAAGCCAGCTTCCTGGTGGACGGACTCAGTTAGAAGCATGTGACTTGGAGGCCTCCAGCTTTATAGCAGTTTTTAAGTGGCCCATTTCAAAAGTACTATCTATTGGATATTTGTGTTCATCCGTTTCCTTTATGGAACACTTCTATTGTACTATTTGTTGTATTCTGCATTTGGCTTTCTGTCTGGCTGCTTTGTAGGGGCTTGGCCACCCCACTTATGTACTTTTATTTTTTATGAATAATATATATATATATATATATATATATATATGTATATATGGTTTTGCATTTATAAGTGTACTAATGACTTATGACAGTGCCCTATGGAATACAACATATAACTGTTGCATTGAAGTACCTGGTCATGAAGGGACAAGAATACGGCTTGACACAACAGTTTGCTACAACGGATTCTCTCTTTATTGGTATATTGAAGAAAGAATATAAAAAGTACTTCGAAATAATAGAAGCATTGCTTATGCAACCCTGAACACGTCAATATTGAGAACAAACCTAGGGGCTTTGCCAGAGTTTGGATGATGCTAGGGAGTAGGCAATTGCATTTACATACAGTGAACACTAGAAACCATTGGATATTTGTCGTGCTTTACATATCAGGAAAGTGCATCAAGATGTATGATTCCAACCAAAAGGGGAAAAAGCAATCACCATATTAAAAAAATTCCTTGTCTATAGGTTTTACACCGAAAAGTGATGTACAAATTAGAAGTGTACAATAAGCAAAAGATGCCAAAATGGGAGATGTGCTAGGGATTGTGACCGTAAGTAATCACCCAAAACAACAAGATGGTTAAGTTAATAGTATAGTCGTTTTAAAGATCATTTTTACATATGTTTTGTGATTTAATTGCATGTATCATATTTGTGTCCCTATACTGCCCAAAGTATTTAACCATATGCAGGATGAGCTGTGGCATGATTGTTATCAAGATGGCTGAGTATCTGATGATCGGAATGGAAGTGGATGAATTGGATGCTTCAAACATTTCAAATATGAGGAAAAGATTTTTCGTAGAACTTCTATTCTATGCAAGCAGGAAAATTGGACATTAAGATGACAACAACGAACATATAGATTAAACTTTTAGTTTTTGTTTGCTTTTGGTAATTGTTTTGTTGCGTGGTAGTAATTGCTCTATCAGTTGTAATGATCTTACTTTTTTAGACAAAATTGTTTCACTCTATTTTTAGTTTAAGAATGTTTTTGGAGGTTGGGAAATAGTTAACATTGTAGAAGTAGTTAACTTTTGGAAAATTGTGACAATAGTTGGTTATGACATTGTGTTTTATTTTAAAATGTGCAATGAATGATTGGTTCAATAGTAATATCATGGTATTGTTATTCAAGTGATTTTAGGAGAAATGATTTTGTCATTGAAGGCATATATTGTTATTCACGTTTCAAATACATTGTTCTTCACTTCCAAAAGATGTAGGGTAACTAAATTGAACTCCAATTGCAAAAAATATTTTCATATAACAACATATATTACTCTGTTGTTAGTATGTACCTGCTCAGTGTCTTTCTATAATGTTCCAACTTCAAATTCAATCAACTGCATATTTTCCTAAGTCATCACGATGAATAATTAAATAGGGTCATTGTCTCTTTTAAGTTAATATCTAAAATGTTATGCATCACTGTTACTCAGCATATTTATACCTCAAAATTGCCTCCATGTTCAGTGTTGTCATTGTGCACGTTCTCCTCATCAATGGCCAACACACCTTCGTTTTAATTTCATGTTCTCCACCCTCATTAACATGCAGTGTTTCCTATGAAACCATGATCACTAATCTATTAGTGTTAGTGTCCCTTATACGTTAATAGTTAAACTATTGTGCATCATTGTTACTCTTCATGATTCATACCTGAGATTCATGACCATTCTCATTGTTGTCATTGTGCACGTTCTCTTCATCCTTTAATTGATTTATGTTTGTCTCAGCCAACAGCTCATTCATCCCCTTCAATGTCAAGAAAAATTGAGCCTTGACGTCTTACTTTACATTCATAATAACACACCCTTTTCAAACACTTTCTACTAGATCTCCCAACACTTCTTCTCCCCATGGATAGCTATTAACTTTTGTTAAATCATTGACCAAGTAGAGATACAATCCTGCTAATACATGGCTGGTTACCAATTATCTGACTTCCTAACATGTGTAACAACCTTAACATCACTACATCCAATGCTTGTTTATCTTTCTTTTTTTAACATTCTCAAATACAATCCTCACATCTTCCCTTGGCACATTTCTCTGGCTATTGAAGTATCTTTTACTTGAGTCACTTGGTTCAAGATATTTATCCATTTTTTCATTAGTGCTCCTAAACTTAAATCTGCTAACCTTTTGAAAGTCTCTCTTTGTAAAAGTAATCAATCTATCACCAATGGAAATGAAATTTCTTTCAAGCTCCGAACTCTGTTCATAGCGTCTATATGGTTGAGGGAGAGAAGAATGAGTAGTTGGCCATTGACACACTTTAATTCTCCAATGTTTAACCAATATCCAAATGGAGTCGTTTGGAATTCTTTTATCTCCTTTTCAAAAAGCACTTATTTCAATTTTTGAGCCCCCTTTTCAACATTGCAAAATGAATTTATCTTAACTTTAGGCTTTGTATCTAGTAGGTTAGGCTTACATAGGCCTTTATAGACCTGTCACATTAATAGAAAGTGTTAGAATAATAGACCAACGCTAGAGGGGGGGTGAATAGCATTTGATCGGAGAAATCGCAGGAATTAAAAAAAAATTAAAAGAGAAGTAAACTCTTCTCATTTTCCGTGTGGCTTAAAATGGGACCAAGTGGTGTTGAACACCGATTAGGTCGGAGGGCTCTCTGAGAGAGCTCGATGTGATGATAGAGCAATTCGAATGCCCACGAATTGTTTGGCAATGTTGAACTCTCAAGCTCAGTGTGCTTGGAGTTGCTTAGGAAGTTTCCTAACAGACCTTCCTTTGAATCAATCGAGAGAGATACTATCTCTCAACATGTCTAAGAACACAAGTACACTCAAGAACGAGACTCTCTTATAGAGTAGATTATGAGTAAACTAAGTACGCTCAAGAACAACTCAACCTTCACACAAAAATGGCTCTAGAAAGCTATGCAAACGAGATGAGGTTATGCATATGAGGAAGACTTAGAGACTTAAAAAAATTGTTCCCCCTTAATAGATGCCATTTTATTAAAAAGATTCCCCCTCAATTTTTGCATAACCTTGATATCTTCCCCCTTTTGACATTAACAAAAAGAATTAAAGTAAACTTTAGAATTTAAAAGTGAACTTTTATTAAAATAAGGGAAAATGCGGAATACAACGGAATGGAAGTAAAAGAAATGCAATCATAGTAGGAAAAGGAAAGAAAAGAAGAGTCTAGGCAACAGCGTCCTCGGCGTCATCGTCTTCGTTCTCATCATCCTCGTCGTCCTCGACGTCCATGGGATCCCCGTCGACCGCGTCCTCAAAGTCGGCCTCGTCGGGGGAGGAAGACGGAGCATAGGAGTCATCCTCCTCGTCCTCGCCTTCATAGTTCTGGCCGAGGATGGTGCTGTCAAAGGGCGGCGGGACGTAGTTGATTCCGCGGAAGAACGCCGTCATGTCATGGTGTTGACGTTGCAGCGTCCAATCCATCCGCTCGATTGACTGCCCCATGCCATCCACTGTGAGGGTTAGCCGATTCAGAGTATCGGCTATGGATTGCAACGAGGCCCGGGCGGGAGCGGGGGCAGGGGCACGGGCTGGTGCACGGGCACGACTTGGTCCGGCGCCGTCTTGGTCTCCGGACTTCTTCCGGAAGGTGCTATCTTGGATGATCCAAATCTTCGTCATCTTTGTATCCGGGCCGGCGATGTGGATGTCGGCGGAGACGATGAGGTCCACGACGAGAAAGGCGTATGGCAAGCTCCGCTCGTTGGTGATGGAGGCGCAATCCGCCATGTGAATCATGACGTATTTTGCCCAATTGATTGAGGCTCCATGGGTGATAGCATGAACGGCCTTGAGATCCTCGTTGAAGAGGCACGTGTGGCTACCGTCCCGGGGGCGAAGAATCCGGGTGAGGATATAGAGTAGAAGACGCTTCTCCGGCGGGGCTGAGTGAATGGTTGGTGCGCCGCTGTGACGGACGAGGTTGGTGATTCCCAGCTCTCGGATGACCACCGCCTCGTTGTTGAGGATCCAATCATCACCGCCATATGTTGCAATGTCGTCACCGCGGGTGGGCAGCCCTGCGACCCGAGCGAAGGTAGCCAAATCAATCTCTATGTCGTAGAGATTGATGCTGCTGCGAATGGTGTCCCCGTCCCGGCGGAGATTTGAGTAGAAAGCCCGGACGTAGGCGGGTTTGTAGGATTGACGGCTTCTGGAGACGAACGACCACAGACCCGACTCTTTGAGTTGATTGTCGAGGTCGTGGTACCCCTTTTGTTGAGGGTATATCTCGGGCAGCACTCTTGGCGGAGAGATGGGGCGCTTGGCGAAGTGGGTGATGAAGCGAGAGAGTTCCTCTTCCGACCCGAACTCTAAGAAGGATCCGTCCAGGTACGGGAAAGGTTGAGAGGCAGAACTCGTAGCCTCGGCGGCGGTCTTCTTCTTCGAGGCCTTCGACTTGGATTTTCCTCCGGCCATGATAGCGTTTCTTACCAAAAAGTGATGGAAAGAGTGTAATTTGCTAAAGGAATGAGAAAGTGGTGTTAATTGTGTCTTAAAAATGTAAGGAATGATGAGAATATATAGGGAGAGGAAGCTGAAACCGTGTGAATTCAAAAAAATATGGCTGTTGGGCATTAAATTCGGTGCCCAACGGCCATAATTTTTGAATTTCAACTGCCTTCCCATCGATGGTAAGGAAGTTCCCATCGATGGGAGAGTCGCTACTGGAAAGCGAGAAGAAGAACAAGGCTGCCTTCCCATCGATGGTCAAGCTCACCCATCGATGGGAGGGTGCCTACTGGAAATCCGTTAAGACGTTTTTTAAAAAAAAAAGTGTCAAACACCTAGCGATGGGAGAAAGTTCCCATCGATGGGATGGGAGGTTCTGAAAATTTAAACAAAAGTCCTTCACCCAGCGATGGGATGAAATACCCATCGATGGGTAAGGTATTTCTGGAAAACCGTTAAGTATTTTTTTTAAAAAAAAGAGTCAATTACCAATCGATGGGAAGAAGCACCCATCGATGGGAAGAGGGGTTCTGAAAAAATAACACTTCCCTCCCAGCGATGGTACAATCCACCCATCGCTGGTTCCCCCTGATTTCCAGAATTCTTCACTTCGAACCGTCCCTGCAAAAAAGAGTTAGAAAACCCTCCGACGCTCAAGTTAGTAAACGTTCCAGTAACAATAAAAGAATGATAAAATGCACAAATTAGATCATCGTGGAGTCAAGGATTCCGAGTTCACTACGAATGCGGAAGAATGACTCTTTCTCTAAAGGTTTTGTGAAAATGTCGGCTAATTGGTTGTGTGTTTCAACAAACTCAATTTCGACATCACCTTTGAGGACATGATCTCTAATGAAATGGTGCCGAATGTCAATGTGTTTCGTCCTTGAATGAAGAACGGGGTTCTTCGTCAAGCTAATGGCGCTAGTATTGTCACAACGAAGAGGAACGTGACTGATACTAAGGCCATAGTCCACGAGTTGTTGCTTCATCCAAAGGATTTGAGCACAACAACTACCGGCAGCAACGTATTCCGCTTCGGTTGTGGATAACGCAACACTGACTTGTTTCTTGCTAAACCATGAAACTAAAGAACTACCAAGTAAGTGGCAAGTCCCACTCGTACTTTTGCGGTCCAATTTGCAACCGGCAAAGTCCGAGTCGGAGTAACCAACAAGAAGACACGAAGAGCCTTTAGGATACCACAGTCCAACGTTAACCGTGCCTACAAGGTATTTCATGATCCGTTTCACCGCCGTTAAGTGCGATTCCTTCGGGCATGATTGATACCTTGCGCAAAGGCATAAGCTAAACATGATTTCCGGCCTACTAGCGGTAAGATAAAGAAGGGATCCGATCATACCTCGATACTTTTTGACTTCTACTTCCTTACCTTTTTCGTCTTTGTCTAGGTGGTCGGACGTGCTCATCGAGGTCGCCATTACTTTGGCGTTTTCCATTTCGAATCGTTTTAGGAGCTCCTTACAGTATTTGGTTTGGCAAATAAATGTGCCATCTTTCATTTGCTTGACTTGGAGTCCCAAAAAAAATGTAAGCTCACCCATCATGGACATCTCAAATTTGCTTGTCATTAACGTTGAGAATTCCTTGCACAAAGACTCGTTAGTAGCACCGAATATAATGTCGTCTACATAAACTTGAACCAAAAGGATGTTATTGTTTTTACTCTTGATAAAAAGTGTAGTGTCAACCTTTCCCCTTTGGAAACCACTATCCAAAAGAAATTTACTCAAACGTTCGTACCAAGCACGTGGTGCTTGTTTAAGACCGTAGAGCGCTTTCTTGAGTTTGAAGACGTGAT